CCCAGGAGTGGTATTGCTGGGTCAAATGGGAGCTCAATTTCAAATTTTTGGAGAATCACCCATACTGTTTTCCAGAAGGGCTGAACCAGTCGGCATTCCCACCAGCAGTGAAGGAGTGTCCCTTTCTCGCCACCTGCATGCCAGCATCGGTTGCTTTTGTTCTTTTGGATGTGGGCCAGTCTCTGAGGTGTGAGATGGTATCTCATTGTGGTTTTGATCTGCATCTCCCTGATGATTAATGATGTAGAGCTTTTTCTCATGTGCCTTTTTGCCATTCGGATTTCTTCTTTGAGAAAGTTTCTGTTCATTTCATTGCCCCATTTTTTGATGGGGTTGGATGTTTTCTTCTTGTGGAGTTCAACCAGTATTTTGTATATCCTTGATGTCAACCCTTTGTCAGATGAGACACAACACATTCTTGGTCAAGGCACTTTTGTACAACCACAAATGAATTTACTGTTTAGGTATATTAATGCTGTTGATTACGTTTATGGCTGGACCACTAAAAGAGCATATACATATGGTCATATTGCAGAGAGAAATCTAGGCCAGCCAATTTTTAAATTATTCTAAACCTATTAATCAGTTGAGTTAATGCTTCTCCCTTGGGAACAATTAGTATAGGGGCATAGAGGCCAGAAGACTTACTTGAATGAAAATCCTTCAACATGAAAATATGAAATTAGGGGCATATAAGTTGCCTCAGTGATATTAATCTAGTACTATTCAGAGTTTGCTATATGCACATCCTTTTTATGTCCAAGAACAGTTAGAGACATTGTATTTTCTATCTCGTCTCTTCCCGTGAATAATTGGCATTGATCTCTAGTCTTTGATCTCAGTCCTATAAAACAATTGTTGCTCTATTTAAATTTTTTGAAAAATAAAAAAGTAATATCTTATTCAAAATGATAAATAATATAGATTGTGAAAAAATCAGCCTCTATAATAATATGTTCTAGTATTTTAGCATTTTTCCTCTTTGGAGCTACCAACATGTTTGTGTATGTATATTCATAAATTTTTCTAGGCACTTATACCTAAACGTAGAGTTTTAAAAAATCCAGATACTTAATAGTAAATGACAGATATTTCACCATATCACAGAATTTAAAAAAAAATGAATACTTTGTTCAACATTTTCCTATTGCTGAATAGGTTGTTTTCAGCTTTTACTTTGATAAAGGATAAATATTCTTGCACTACTATTTCTTACTATTTATGTAACAAAGTTTCTTATCTTTTAAAATTAATTCATTGTGGTCAGTATTTGAACCTGGGACTTGACTTTGCCTGTGTACACGCCCCAGGTGTCCTCTAGGACCCTGTCCCTGAGCCTCTTCCTATTTGTACCCAACGCTGTACCTGGTCTTCTTCCTCCCTCAGGTCATATCCCCCACCAACCAGGTACCAGTAGGGGGCGTGGCCTCTACAGAAGAGGGCATGGCCTCTTCAGAAATAGGCGTGGCCTCTGTGGAAGTGGGCGTGGCCTAATTTAGGGCCAGTGGACACTCATGCAGCGGCAGGTAATTTACTCATACCCAGCAATCTCGCTTAACATCTCAGTCTCCATACCTCCATACCAACATGAAGAAACAATGCAAATTCCCACCATGAGGAGAGGACAATGAAAAGAGTCCAGAGGCCTCATTAGGTACTACTCACCTAAGGAACCTCTTTGAGAAAGAATTCAGATATGAAGTAATGAAGATGTTCAATGAACTCAATGAAACAGTCAGACAGATAACCAGTAAATTAAAGGAGGACATGAAAGAAACCATCGAGAAAATACAGGAAGAAATGAAAGCAGAAATTGGAAAGGTACATACAGAAATGTCATGAATAAAAGATTCGGTAGATGAAATAAAAAACTCAGTCTGTGCTCACAACAGTAGAATGGCCACAGCTGAAGACAGAATCAGTGAGTTGGAAGATCAGCTGCACTAATCCTACAGGCAACAGCAAACAATGGCAAGAGACCTCAAAATAGCCTTAGAGCGAATTAGGTCCTAGGAGATGATTCAGAGGAAGAACATTAAAATCATTGGAATACCAGAAGCTCAGAGAAACAATCCCAATGAAAAAGGGACGGTTTAAACAAATCATTGCTGAAAAGTTCCCAGAGCTGGACAATGCAACCATTCAGATTCAAGGAGCTTGAAGGGTGACAGCTAAAAGAGACCCTAACAAAAACACTCCAAGACATATCATAGTTAGAATGATGGATGCTGCGGATAGAGACACAATACTGCAAGCAGTTAGGTCAAAGAAGGAAATCACATACAAAGGAGCACCCCTTAGATTCACAGCAGACCTATTAGAGGAAACCCTCCAAGCCCAAAGGCAATGGTGGGGTATAGTGAAAAAACTCACTGAAATGAAAGCTTCACCAAGAATACTCTATCCAGCTAAACTCTCACTCAAACTTGAAGGAATGGTACACTTTTTTGTGGATAAACAGAAGCTCAGGAACTTCATAGACTCAAAACAAAACCTAAAGGAAGAGATAAAAGGGCTACTATAAGACAAGACAAACCCTACAAGCACAAAAAACCCTACAGAAAGATGAAAAACCCTTACAGAAAGATGACACAAAACACCATAACAATAATCTCTCTCAACGTCAATGGTCTGAATTCATCAATTAAGAGACAGAGTGGCAAAATGTGTTCAGAGACATTCTGCTGCCTACAAGAAATTCATGTCAATAGTTAGAGCAAACACAGACTCAAAGTTAAAGGATGAAAAACAGTCCTGCAAGCAAACAGCTCCCTCAAAAAAGCTGGGGTGGCCATACTAGTATCTGACAACATTAATTTCATGTTGAAAAAAATTAGAAGGGCCAGGAAAACCATTTTCTATTCATCAAGGGATACGTACAACAGGAAGAAATCACACTCTTGAATGTATGTGCACCTAATGTGGGAACAGCTAAATATTTAAAACAACTGCTAACAGATTTTAAGGAGGACATTGCTAGCAACACAATAGTAGCCTGAGACTTCAACATTGCCTTATCACTTCTGGATGGATCAACAAGAACAAAACTCAGCAAGGAAACATTGGCTTTGAAGGAAAAAATAGAAGAGAGAGGGATTATAGACCTATACAGGGCTTTACATCCCCAAAAGAAAGAATACACATTATTCTCCAGTGCACATAGAACATTTTCCAAAATAGACCACATGCAAGGTCACAAAACATACCTCAATAGAATTAGGAAGATAGAAATAGTATCAACAATCTTTTCAGACCACAATGCACTGAAGATAGAAGTGAATCACACAAAGACACGGAGAACCAAATCAAACATCAGAAAATTAAACAACTCAATGTTGAACAACGAGTGGGTCAGGAAGGAAGTCAAGGACGAAATCAAAAGATACCTGGAAACAAATGAGAATGAAGACACGAGCCACCCGAACCTATGATGCAGCTAATGCTGTGATAAGGGGAACATTTATAGCTCTACAAGCATTTTTCAGGAAGGAAGAAAGGGTCCACATAAACAACTAGACTTCACAGCTCAAGATCTTAGAAAATGACCAAAAAAGGAGCCTAAACCAGGCAGAAGGAAAGAGATCATAAAACTTCGAGCAGATATCGACAACATGGAAACCCAAAAACAATCTGAAAGATCAATGAAACTGAAAGCTGGTTCTTTGAGAAAATAAAAAAGATAGATAAACCACTAGAAAACTCAAAAAGAAACAGAGAGAGAAACCTAATAAACCAAATCAGAAATGAAAAAGGGGACATCACAACAGAAACCAATGATATTCAAAATATTATCAGAGACTTCTTTGAGAGTCTGTTTGCCATGAAACAAGAGAACCTAAAGGAAATAGATAAGTTCCTGGATTCCTATAATCTCCCAAGATTGAACCAAGAAGACTTGGAATACCTGAATAAACCCATTAATATCAAGGAAAGGGACTCTCCTTCACTACTGGCGAAAATGCTGGCTGACTCAGCCCTTTTTGTAAACAGTATGAACAATTCTCAAAAATTTAGAAATTGAGCTCCCATTTGATCAGCAATACCACTCCTGCGAATATATCCCGGAGAAGCAAAAAAGTACAGTCGAATTGACATCTGCAGTTCTATGTTCATTGCTGCACTGTTCACAATAGCCAAAAAACCCGTGTGCCTGAGAACAGATGACTTGTTAAAGAAACTTTGGTACATCTACACAATGGAGTACTATGCAGCTGGTAGAAAAGATGAAGTTATGAAATCTATATACAAGTGGTACTACATGGAAAGTATCATGCTAAGTGAAATGACTCAGAAAAAGAGGGAAAGACATAGAAAGATTACATTCACCTGGGGAATATAAAGTAACAAAATAGGAAACTAACCCCCAAGAATAGCCGAGATAAGTACCAGGAGGTTCACTCCATGACTTGGAGCCCAGCCACATCTGCTAGGGGAAAAGGCAGCTCAGATAGATAAGGGAGCACCAAGTACAAAATGTTGGAGGATCTTCCCAGGATGAGAGATGCATGCTGAAAGTAGTCTATAGACTGAACATGATTGCCACTCAATGCCACTTTTGCAAGCCATAGCACCCAAAATGAGAGTGAGAACAAAAGAGAATGCCCTGCCACAGAGGTGGGGTGGGATGGGGGGATGGTAGGGTGGGAGGGATGCTCGGAGCGTTGGAGGTAGGGAATGGGCATTGGTGGAGGGATGGTACTCAATCATTGTGTAACTGAAACCCAAGCACAAAAATTTGTAAGTCTACAACTGTACCTCATGGTGTTTCACTAATAAAAATTTAAAAAAGAGGACCTACTGCCAGTTCTTCTCAAGCTTTTCAATGAAGTTGAAGAAACAGAAACTCTCCCAAACAGTTTCTATAAAGCCATATCTCTCTAATACCAAAAGGAAACAAAGACACCCCGAGAAAAGAAAACTAGATCTCACGTGCGCTCTCTTTGGTGGTTGCAACAACGCGGAGTTAACGGGGTTGCTTTGAGGATGGTACCGGCACCACCATGAGCCTTCTCAACAAGCCCGAGAGTGAGATGACCCCTGAAGAGATACAGAAGCCAGAGGAGGAGGAGGAGTTCAATACGGGCCCACTCTCCGTGCTCAGGCAGTCGGTCAAAAACAACACGCAAGTGCTCATCAAATGTCGCAACAACAAGATGACCGCTTGAAGGCCTTCGACTGACACTGCAATATGGTGCTGGAGAATGTAAAGGAGATGTGGACCAGGGTCCCCAAGGGCAGCAAGGGGAAGAAGAAGTCCAAGCCCATCAACAAGGACCGCTACATCTCCAAGATGTTCCTGTGTGGCAACTCGGTCATCGTGGTCCTGCAGAATTCCCTCATCACTGGCAAGTAGATAGTACCCCCTGTCACTGAAGACCTGCCCTTATGGATGCAATAATAAAGTACCCCTTTTGTTTTAAAAAAAATAAAAGAAAACTACAGGCCTATATCCCTGATGAACACGGATGCGAAGATTCTCAACAAAATATTAGCAAATAGTATTCAACAACTCATCAAAAAGATTATAACCATGACCATCCTGGGGATGCAAGGATGGGTTAACACTCAGAAATCAATCAACATAATCATATCATATCAACATAAGGAGAAATCAATCAACATAATCATATCAACAAAAGGAAAGATAAAAACCATATAATCATATCAATAGGTGCAGAGAAAGCATTTGACAAGAACCAGCACCCATTTATGATGAAAACACTAGCCAAATTGGGGATAAAGGGGGCTTTCCTCAATATAGTTAAAGCCATCTACCACAAGCCTATGGTAAACATCATCCTCAATGGGGAAAAACTGAGAGCCTTCCCTCTAAGATCAGGGATGAGACAAGGATGCCCACTCTCTCCATTGTTGTTCAATATAGTACTGGAAGTACTTGCAATAACGGCAACAAAAAGATATTAAGGACATTCAAGTAGTAAAGAAAGAGATAAAGCTCTCACTATTCGCAGATGATATGATACTCTACTTAGAAAACCCTTTAACCTCTACCAAGAAACTCCTAGAAACAATAGACTCGTATAGTCAAATTCAGTCTATAAAATCAATACCCCAAAGTCCATGGCCTTCCTATACATAAATAATGAGAGAAAGGAATGTGACACACAAAAACAATCCTGTTCACTATTGTGCCCCAGAAAATCAAGTACCTAGGAATCATCTTAACTTTGTATTTTGTTAAAATTCAAAGACACTACAGAATGGGAAAGGATATTCGCCCAGTACACATCTGACAAGGAGTTGATATCAAGGAAATACAAAGTACTGGTTGAACTCCACAAGAAGAAAACATCCAACCCCATCAAGACCTGTACAAAAAAAACAACTACAAAATGCTACTTCAGGAAATAAAAGAGGACACGAGAAAATGGAAAGATATCCCCTGCTCATGGGTCGGGAGAATGAACATTGTCAAAATGGCAATACTACCCAAAGCATTGACAAATTCAAGGCAATCCCTATAAGGATACCCATGACACCCTTCAAAGAAAGGGAGAAAACACTCCTGAAATTCATATGGAACAATAAGCCCCCACGAACAGCTAAAGCAATTCTCGGGAAAAAGAAAATGGGAGGAATCAACCCCCCTAACTTCAAACTCTACTACAAAGCAGTAATAATTAAAACAGCATGGTAGTGGAACAAAGGCAGAGACGTAGACCAATGGAACAGAGATGAATATACTGATATCTACCCCCAAAAATATGATCATCTCATCTTTGATAAAGGAGAAAGAAATGTGAAGTGGAGTAAGTTAAGCCTCTTTAACAAATTTTGCTCGCAAAACTGGATAACTGCATGCAAAACATGGGCTCAGATCTCTACCTAACACCATGTACAAAAGTAAGATCAAAGTGGATTAAAGACTTCAACATCAGACCGGAATCCACAAGGTACATTGAAGACAACGTTGGCAAAACCCTCCATGACATTGAAGCTAATGGTATCTTCAAAGATGACACACCACTGGCCAAGCAAGTGAAAACAGAGATAGACAAATGGGATTATTTTAAACTAAGAAGCTTCTGCACCTCAAGAGAAACAGTGACCAAAATACAAAAACACTACAGAATGGGAAAGGATATTCGCCCAGTACCCATCCGACAAGGAGTTGATATCAAGGAAATACAAAGTACTGGTTGAACTCCACAAGAAAAAAACATCCAACCCCATCAAAAATGGGTCTATAAAATGAAAAAAAAACTTTCTCAAAAAAGAAATCCTTATGACTAAAAGGCACATGAGAAAATGCTCTACCTCATTAATCATCACCGAGATGTAGATCAAAACAACAATGAGATATCATCTCACATCATAGAGACTGGTCCACATCCAAATGAACAAAAGCAACTGGTGTTTCGTGGATGTGGCAAGAAAGGGACCCTCCTCTACTGCTTGTGGGATTGTTGACTGGTTCAGCCCTTTTGGAAAACAGTATGGACGATTCTCCAAAGATTAGAAATTGAGCTCCATTTGACCCAGTAATACCACTCCTGGGAATATATCCTGGAGAGGCAAAAAAGTATAGTTAAAATGAAGTAGCTTTTAATGTGTTTTAATTATACAAAGTTATCACACCATGTTCTGTACCAAAGTATCCAAACCTCTGTCTACCACTATAAAAAAGGACACTCCCCTTCCTCGAACATTAAGTCATCTCATTTCTGTTGTAAAAGTCTGAGGGTTTGTTTTTATTTTCTCTCATATGTTTATTCCTTTATTTTGTTTCTTTACGTACTACTCATGAGTGAGATGACCCGGAGTTCATCTTTCTCTGAGTTTGTTTAGCACTAAACCCTCCAATCACTTTATTTTTATCCTTTGGAACAAAAAGCAAGAGTATCTTTAAAAAAATAGTCTTGCATTGTGAATGCATACACTAAAATTACACAATTTCTTTATCCGCTTACATATCATAGGACACTTGGGCTTTGTTCAATGATCTAAAAGCCAAATTCAATACCAATAATCCCTCATATTTACTAAATCTGTACTATATGCCTGACATGATTTCATTAATCTTCACAACTACCTTCTACAGAGATGACCATTATTGCCATCACTTTGCATACCAGAAAATCAAGGTTTGCAACAGCTAGTTTTATGATTCATCTCATAAATAGATGACAGCTAGTGTAACTCCATTATTCTCAATTCAAGATCAGTGTTTTTAAGCGCTATACTGTGAGGACCTTGCATAAGTTTCTACAATGCTTGAAACTTTGGTAAGGTTCACTGACTCTTTTTATTGATTTTTTTTGGTGTGTGTTCAGGACTTTTTTGTGCCCAGATGTGCTCAGAGCTTACTCCTGGCTCTGTTTTCAGTGGTGTTTAGAGAATTTAAGGGTTCTAGGGATTGAACCCAGGTCAGCTGCATGCATGGTAAGCAGTCAGTCCTCTGTTTTTATTACTTCGGACGTACTTTCTTGTGTATTTACTCCTTTAGTAAATTTTATAGCATATTCTGAGGCTTGTTAAAAAAGTTATTTGGTATTTCAATGATAATTGTTTTTAATTTTACATTATTTGTAGAAAACAAATCAACACTGTTCTCCCCCCTAACCCTAAAGTCTGTGTTGTACTCCTAATCCCTAGCACGTCAGAGGAGACTGCATTTGGAGATGGAGTCTTTTAAGAGGCAGTTAAGTTGAAATGAGGTCATTAGCGGGGCACTGTGCACTGACTACCATATGATGGGTGCTGCAAGAAGAGGAAATTGGGACAGAGATTTGGAGACAAGCCCAAGACACGAGGGCCTGGTGGTCTCAAACTATAGTTTTAAAAAAGACACTAACTTGCTAACATCTTGGTTTGGGACTCATAGTCTCCACAATTATGAAAAAAATTAATGTTTTATTAATTAAAGTTTCCAGTCTATGGTACTTTATAATACTAGCAAATAAGTACACTCATTTCTATGATTTACTGTCTCCTAACTTAGGAAAATGTTGCAACTTTTTCATTTTTCATTTTTAGGTTTTCAGGCATAGTGCTTTCTTTAAGTAAGCATTAGTGTACCATTTATTTATTTTTTATAATTAAGTGTTTATATATTGTGTTAACATTGGTTGACATGAGTGTAAATGTTTCCATGTTAAGGATATAATATTACCACACCGTGATCATTTTAGTATGCCTTAGATTTGTCACCGTTAATTTTTGATCATTTTTAAAAATTCTTCCTGATTTTAAGTAAAATTGGGCATTGATTTTTAATATTTCTATTTTATTTAGCTACCTAATAAGATTTTCAAATGTCTTAATAGAATTTTAGTTGTCTTGGAATTTTTTGTGTGAACGTATCATGAAAATAATGAAATTTTTGTTTTTTCTTTTCTTTTCTTTTTTTTGGGGGTCACACCTGGCAATGCACAGGGGTACTCCTGGCTCATGCACTCAGAAACCACTCCTGGCGGTGCTCAGGGGACCATATGGGATGCTGGGAATTGAACCCGGGTTGGCCGCTTGCAAAGCAAATGCCCTACCCACTGTGCTATCGCTCCAGCCCCTGTTTTTTATTTTCAACATGCACATTCTATTATTATTATTTATTGCATTGGACGCTTAAAAATCTGTTTGAATGATAATATTAGTGTTGAGCATACTTGCTTGGCTTCTGTCTTTACTTGGAAATTATTAATTATGTTGTTATAGGTTTTTTGAAATAATTTTCAACTTATTACACACTTTCAGGAGTTTTAATTCTCTTTATGAGCAAAAGTAATTATAGAAACTATTCTGCATAGTGCTATAGGTCTTTCTTTTTTATATGTTAATAGAATGAGTTGCTTAGATATTTTTAAAATTTTAATCACTTTTAGACTTAGAATAAGCCTGTTTATTTATGATGGACTTTTCTTATAATTTGCTCCTGAGTTTGAGTTAACACATTATTCATAAATTTTCAAAAAGTGTGTGAAATCATTTCTAATCATTGTATTATTAAAGATGGATTTTCCCCTTATATTTGAATGGCAGTTTAGCTAGAAAGAAGTCTAAGTTCAAAATAACTTTGGAGACATTACTCCATTGCATTCTGTTATTCCGTATTTTAGGTGAGATTGGAGATTGCTTTTCAGGTTAGAAACAATAAGAAAAATATAAAATTTTATATGAATCATAATAAAAATGAGTTGAAGTAGATGCTTTTATATTTGCACAAAGTATTTTGCTTCACCTTACTTTATTTTTTATATTGTTCTAACTGTAATATATTTCTGCTATGTACAATGAAGCAAAATAAGTGTTTTACCTTCTCTTTTCATCAGTAAAATTTAATGACAGAACTCTAATTTTAAAAATTAAGAATATGAAATCCTTTCCACTGGAATA